GGCCCGGGGTCAGGGAGGACGCCAGCTCTGGAAGCTGGGAGACACATGGGGTAGGGGTGGGGTGCTTCATCGGGGTGGCTGCGGCGGGAGGGCGGACCGGAGGACCAGCTGTCGCCAGAACTTCCTGAGACCAGCCCTGGGAGGAGCTTTACCAAAGCAGCCACTGTCAGGTCTTTCCCAGGAAGCTCTGGATGTGTCCAGCTCTGGGCGTGTCCAGCTCTGGCTGGGGTCACCACCCTCTGGCCTGGCCTTGGCCATGGGAGGGGGTTGGGAGCACAAGGTAGACTGCACAGCCCTCCAGACTGGGGTGGGGGTCGTGTCGGGGGGTGCTCTCTGAGGAACACACAGACCTGCAGACCAGTTAAATCCCTAGCCAGGACCACCTCAACTTCCTGCTTGTTCCACGACTGGAATCGAAGCCCCACTGAATACTCCCCGTGTGACCTTGGCAAGTCTCGTTCCTCTCTGGGTTTCCATTTTCTCCTTTGTAAAACAGGGTAGCTTGTTGCTGAGATTACGGCTTTGGGTCTAGAGGACGTCATGGATGGTGGAAATCCTACAGGACAATACCCAGGCAAGGCAGGTGACAGAGGGTTCAAAACCCTCCCCGAGGGAGAGTTAACCATCAGGTCACCTTTGCAGCACTTGTGAAAGTAGGTCTTTGTGCCTTGTCTCAGTTTGCTCATCCTTTAACCGTACAGATGGGGAAACTGGGGCTGCACCTGTGGAACTGAGTCACAAAATTTGGAAGTGGTTAAGGGAGTGGATCCTAGGAGCTTTCATCTCAAGGGAAAAAGCCATTTTTTTCTTTCTCAGTTTTCTTTGGTAACTATGTGAGATCCTGGATGTTAAATAAACTTATTGTGTTGATCGTTTCACAACGTACGCAAGTCCTTAGCCTACATGTTCGCACTCATACAGTGCTGTGGCACAGTTGTATCTCACTGAAACAGGAAAGGGGGAAAAAGTCATGAAACGTAGGTTTGATTCCCGGTGCTACCACTTACTAGCTATGTGCCTTTGGACAAGTCAGGAAAAATCTCTGGGTCTCAGTGTCCTCATCTGGAAAGAGAGGGCCCTTGGGACAAAAGAAGGGGTCCAGGTATAAAGTCTTGTCTTGCCTTCCACACCCACAGCTGCACGTTAGCATTGCCTGGGGAGCTTTCTAAATAATGTGTGTGTGTGTTTTAAGGTGTATTTATTTATTTTGAGAGAGAGAGAGAGAGAGAGGTAGAGAGAAAGGGAGAGAACCCCAAGCAGGCTCCACGCTGAGAGCATGGAGCCGGATTGGGGGCTCGAACCCATGAACTGTGAGATCATGGTCTGAGCTGAAACCAAGAGTTGGATGTTCAACTGACTGAGTCACCCAGCTGCCCCTAAATACTATACTCTGTTTTTTTAAAAAGGCATTTTAGGGGAGACTGGGGCCCAATAGGTTGAGGCTCTGACTCTTGGTTTTGGCTGAGGCCATGATCTTGTAGTTCATGGGTTCGAGCCCTGTATCGGGCTCCACGCTGACAGTGGGGAGCCTGCTGGGGATTCTCTCTCTCTCATTCTCTCTCTCTCTCTCTCTGCCTCTCCCCTGCTTATGCTTTCTTTCTCTCAAAACAAATAAATAAATTTTTAAAAAGGCATTTAAAAAAAGTTCTCCAAGTGATTCTAATGCACAGACAGGGTTGAGACCCACTCACTGGTTGATAGCCTTGCAAAGCTGAGTGTGGTCCAGCAGTATAGACATCACGTGGGGGCTCTTAGAAATGCAGCATCCTAGGCCCTGCCCAACATCTGCTGAACCAGAATCTGCTTGTTAACAAGATCCCCAGATGATTCGACGCACATTACAGTTTCCGTAACTGTGATTTTATAGTTCAAGAAGCAGTGGCCTGGACAGTGGATTTCAGACGTGTGTGTTTGGGGCCAGGATGGAAGGGGCAACTGGGGAGGATTTGAGGCCTGTGGGGATAGGAAGGGAGATTCTGTGATGCCCATCAGAAAGGTGGATGTTCAATCTGTAAAACCATAGGACAGAGGCCAAGTGACAAAGTAACAAAATGAGCTTCTCCCAGCCTTGCGGACAGACGAGAGTACTTACGAGCCGGCTCACATTCTTGGGGAGAAAATTCATGTACAGAAATCGGGAGCGAGCGCCATGTTCATTACCCTGCTCACTTGGCCACAGCCTCACTTTTCTTTGAATTGTATTTGTTTCATGCGTCTATTTAAACAGCTTACTTTTCGGAGGAAGGGGGCAGGGAGACTGGACCTCATCGGTGTTGGGTAGAAAAACAGTCCAGGCCTCCAGCAAGCAGGTGGCTGCAGAGGAAGATTAATAAAAGGAACGAGGTGCCTGCACACCGCCCGTAGCGGGCCCAGCCAGCTCTGCAGTGCCCAACATACGGTTTATCTCAGGGCAGCTGCTGAAAGTTTCTTGGGGTTTAGAACTTGGCCAGAGCTGAAAGGGAGAGAAGAAGGAAAATGTAAAACGAATAAGCAGCCAATGAAGAGCATCCCTGAGCTCCGGGCTCTCCTGGTGTGCATTTCATCTGGCCTGGAGCTTCTGGTTGGTGCCCTGTTTCTTCCTCAGCCATGACTTCCTGGGAAAGTCACCTTCAGGCTTTGAGGGACTCATACTCCAGTTTTGGGCACAGAGAGAGGACAGTACAAGCACCCCTCCCCCGCTTGGTATGAAGGATCCAGAGTCAACTTGGCATCATTTCCCAGGGAGGAGAGAGAGCATTTGGGGTTCCAGTTTTCTGGGGAAACTTGTTAGAGCCTCTGCCTGCCCATCCCCTCCCCCATGACCAGGATCATGGCCCCATTCGGTGCCAGGTGTGCCCTGACCCTAGCCCGATAAGAGTGTCCTCGTGTGGGGTGTGGGTGCTTGGCACTTGGCCGGAGGACTTTCTCCTTGTGCTTGGCGGGGGACCGGAGACAACATGGAGAGCGGCAAAGGTCAGGGCTGAGCCACTCAGGTGAACCACTAGTAAGCAGAGTATCCCAGGATCCTAGGCCAGGTGGGACAGGCCCCTAGCATCACCTCTTAACTTCATTCTGGGTCCAATAGGAAGTAATCTCAGGAATCACCAGTGGGCCAACCTGCCCTCTAGTGGCGCTAAGCTGTAACTGCACCCTGTCTGCCCGCTTTTTCACAATGGGGTGCAGCTCTGGGGGAAGGCGCCCTGTGATCAATTTGTTCAACCCACAGGCAGGTGACGGAGAGTGGGTGCCGTTCTCCTGTCATTTCAAGCATCTCTTCACCTCATATGTATTCAACCTAAAAGGAGAAGGGAAATAGCAATAAACCATTACCCACTGCCTATTAGGGATTTTGTATACCATGCTTCCTGGGTGCCTCCAAAGGTCCGGGGTGTTGGGGGGCGGGGGTGGTTACTAACCCTTGTCCAGAAATAGTTCTTGTCTTCAAAGACCAGCAGCAAGGAGTCAAGTCACAGTCCATTCCATGCCCATCTGACTTCCAAAGCCATGTTTTTAATGTTCCACCCACCAGTGGACCCCTCTAGGCCAGGAGATTCTAGGCTCTCACAAGGACTGCCAGGCAAGCAGCAAAAGGGAGGGGTGATACATCAGGGAGTGGTGGGGACTGTGGCAAACTGGGAGGTGTGTGTCATATCCAAAGGGCATGGTCATATGACTCCCCGGTTTACTCTTGAGTGAGAATGTGGGACCAACACCTAACAAAAGCTGAAAATCTAGATTTTCATGTAAAAGTTCCCAATTTTAAATACTGGCAATTGATTCCAAAAAGAGTTTAAATACAATGCAGGTCCAACAAAGAATGTTTCTAACACTTCGAGCTTCTATAATACCCGCATAGTACAGCTGAGTCAGGAGAGAGAAGGCAACTTGCCCACGAGCCCGTGACCATATGGAGACAGAGTCTGGAGTTAAGCCCATGTCTCCTGACTCCCAGGCCAGTGCTCCTCTCAGTTCATCTCTCTGTCGTCTGTCCTACTCTCCAGTCCCTGGGGCAGGGGGTGAACCACTTCTGACCTTGGTGAGTTACCAGGATACATCAGACTCAGGGTAGAGGCTGTTAACACGATCCACGTTTATTGGTCAAAGTTGGCTTACAGTGTAGCAGGGCCGTCCTTGGAAGCAACAAGAATATTACGTAGCACGTGCAGCCCCTGGGAACTCACCTGGATCCTGCTGAGGTAGTGACTGGACCCAGTGGCCTTGCCTGATTATCTTGGTAGTGCCTATCCCCACACCCTTAGACCTGGCTTCTTCCCTTACATAGGTCAGAGTAGGCCTGTCCATTCCCACGGACTGTACCTAGCCCTGGGCCCAAAGTCCTTGGAAGCCAGTGTTTAAGAGGAGGGAGTCATCCCATTCACAAATGGGAAAACTGAGGCTTGAGGCAGGAGGGGACTCATCCAAAAGCCTCAGGGCTGAGTCCCTGGCTTGGTTCTCAGGCCACTGGGCTGATCAGTGCTTGGACACCTCTCCCCATCCCCAGTTCTGGGTGGAGGACATTCCCTAGCTTAGATGCTCTGGAAATGCAATATATAAATACAGACTTGCCTTTAAAAAGTAATAAATTAGATTTTGTACCAGCCTGAGGGTATCCTGCCAGCACATATCCTACGATATGAGCAGCTAGCACATGCCATCTATGAGCCACAAATCATATGTCATGCCACGTGTGGTGCTAGGACCCATGACACTGACCCCGAGGCCACACCACAAGCTCTATGTAACGCCACACAGAATTCTGCCACGGGCGACCTGTGTCACCCATCACATCACGACACTCTCATTGTGCGACATGTCCCCGACTGCTCATGAATATCACATGTGATGCAGGGTAGTCTATTGGCCACACCAGGCTTTGGGCCCTTCTTGAAGACTGTAGCAAGACAAATAGGCCCCGCCCTCCTAGGGCAGCATACAGGGGGACCCAGCTGCGGCTCTTTTCCCGAGCCCTCAGTCCTGGTGGGTGGAAGCTGGCTTCACTTGGCTGTATTCGAAGGACCTTGAGGGGGCCATCAAGTACCCCAAGGGGCTTTCGGCTGCTTGTCAAAGAAAGCGAAGTCCAGCCTGGGCTCCTGCCTCTGCAGACGCTGCACCGTGTCGGGGGGAATGGGGTTGTTCCAGAGGCTGCAGGGCACAGAGGCAGGCACTCAGGTCTAGGAGTTGCTCACTCATTCTCTTGTCTCCATCCCCCGTTTGATCTACAGATGGGGAGACCCAAGCCCACGATGGGGAGAGCCATGCCCAGGGCTACCTGGCAGAGGCAGGTATTAGACGAGCACAGCCACCCTCGGGAGAGGGTGTCCTCCACACCCACCTCCCGACTTCTCCCACTCGGTCTCCATCTCTGGGCGCTAGCGATCCCAGCCGGGGCCATGCTCTTATGACACATTTGGGCGAAGAGGGAAAAACTATCTTCTTCAAGACACTCTACTTCCATCATTTGAAACTGTCATAAGATATCGATTTCCATAGCACAAGACACTTCACTACCATTTACTAGAAATTCAAAATGTCAACTATACAAATGATGTCCCTTGGTGGCAATGCCCTTGTGCAGTGCACAGCCTCTAAAACTGTACGTGGTGGCTCTGATTATATAATTTTAAGTGCTTACTACGTGCTAGGCATTGTGCACAGTGCTTCATATAATCGTCTAGTCCTCCTAGAAACTTTCTGAGGTAGATACTATCGTTGACCCCATTTTACAGATGGGGAAAACTGAGGAGAAGAGAGGTTGAATTCCTGACACAAAGTTGCATAACTGGCAAATGGCAGAGCTGGGATTTGATCGAGGTCTGCTTGCTGTCTAATTCCTGGTGGAGTGATGCAAGTCCCCTCTGATAATCCCCAGCCCGGGTCTTGCCCCCTCCCACAGGGAGTCAGTCCCCTTACATTGTAGAGGTTGGTGTGGCCTCCCACCCACCATCTCTGCCCCTGTGAGCCCTTGTTACCGAATGACTTGGATGCCAGACCCTTGCGCCAACCCTTCAGCCAAGAGCCAGGCTCCACAAGCTGTGATCCGATTCTTCTCCAGGCTTCCCAACAGACAGCAGAGAGAAGGGAAAGAGAGAAACTGGCATGAGTGTGGGGGATGGGCTTCCCTATATCCCCCCTACCCCAGGCCCAACGGAACCCAACAGAACACAGTGCAGCGGGAAAGCCAAAGGCGGGGACCCAGGGAGAGTGAAAGTCGGCACGGGCTTGGAGCAGAGTGTGCAACTCATTGAGGGCTCCCTTGCAGGCAGGGGCCTGACCCAGTGGCCTCTCAGCTTTCCCCAGGATGCAGGTTCCCCTTCGCGCCCTCCCCTCCTTCTGGTTTCCCAGGAGGTGCCCCTCATACTCCATTCTCTTCAGCCGGCCCATCTGCGGCAGGACCCGGGCCAGCTCGGCAGCCGCCTCGTCCCCGAGCACATTCCAGGACAGCCTGCAGGGTAGGGGACCTAAGGTCAGTGGCAGGAGAACAGGGAGGCCGAGGGGTGAGACAAGGAGGCAGGTGGGGAGGCCTGGCGGCCCACGATGGGGGGCTGCCACGCAGGTGCCAGAAAGGCCAAGATGGAGTGCTTGTGTGGCCTCCCCAAAGACTTCGGAGCACAGGTAGTCCCTTCCGCTCCTGAACCCCATTTTCCAACTGGTCATGCCTCAAGACCCCAGACAGCTCAGGAGCTGGCTGTGCAGACAACTCAGAGCACACGGTCTGCAGCAATAACGCCAGGGTCCAAACCTCCACCACGCAGGTGCCTCTATCATAATTTTTGCTCTATCCATGCACCTCCTGTATTCTACTTTTGTGTGATATTTTTCTTAAAGCAGTCCTCACCCCCACCCTGCTTTTTTCACTTCAAGAAATTAATCTTAGGGAATGGTCATCACCACCATCAATGGAAAACCTGTGTTCACAACCCTAAATAGGAGGTAGTTATGGGGCGTCTGGGTGGCTCAGTCGGTGAAGTGTCCAACTTCGGCTCAGGTCATGATCTCACAGTTCACGAGTTCGAGCCCCACATCGGTCTCTGTGCTGGCAGCTCAGAGCCTGAAGCCTGTTCAGACTCTGTGACTCCCTCTCTCTCTGCCCCTCCCCGCTCATTCTCTCTCAAAAATAAACATTAAAAAAATAAATACATAAATAAAATAAAAGGAAGGTAGTTATAAGGATAAACACAGTGCAGACAACAGTATTAACTTCCAGCTGGAACCTAGGTTCTTTTTGAGGGTGATGACCCGGTGGCCTGCCCCCTGCTGGTTAAAAAGGGAGAATCATGAAGAGAAACTGAAGCAGAGAAAATTCCAACACTGGGAAATTTACTCTCCGGCACGGAAATATTTCAAGACCATGACAATGAGGCTAACTGACTAATCTCTGATTTATCTTTGGTATGAAGTAAGTATCTGCTCCGTGGTCACATACAATATTTCTTGACTCATTAAGCAAAAAAATAAATAAATAAGGGAGAATGCCTTAGCACTGATCTGACCCTTTGTCTTTGGTGTCATGTAATGAGAAGGATTAAAACCTTTACGATGCAAACCTAAAATCGTCTTAGAATCACTTGTGTCCTGTATTTCAGGAGACGGCATTTTCTCCCATTGTGTGGTCAGGGTCCCAGGCTAGTTCTGGCAGTGTAGTGCTCCCCAAGGTCGGAGCGCCTCTGATTGCCAAGAGCAAGGTGCCCATGGCCCGCGGGCAGGTCAGGGGCATGCTGGTTTGGGCCATTCTTCACTATGAACCGGTGGTTTGTAAATGAAGGCCCTGTAAACCGGGTGAGGTGTTCTATCCAGCCGCCTCCCAAAGGGAAGGTCAGGGGCAAAGAGCCTTTAGAGAGGAGCCGGCCTCCCTCCCTGCCCCACCCAGCCCCACCCCCACCATTCCAGAGGTGGGGAAATGGGCAAGAGAGGCTGAATGAATTTGTCCAACATCACTCACAGCCCACACGTTGAAACTTCCTCCAGAAGAGGCTTAAGCAAGAATGGCCTTCCCCGTTTATAGACGGGGGACCGGCCAGGGAGGGAGGGGCCAGCTCTAGGCTGTACAGTGACTGGCAGGCAGGCCAAGCCCCCGGTGCCTGCTTTTCCCAGCTTAGGCTTCTTGCAAGTACTCACAGAATTTCTTCCAGGGCCGGGCAGAGAAGCAGGCTGGCAGCGAGGGGCTTGGCAGTGTGGTCGTCAATATCACATGAAACCAAGCTGGGGACAGAGAAGGGGATGGGATGGAGGGTGTCTGAGTCGGGGGCACCTCCAGCCAGCCTGCCTCTGCCCACCTTGCAATCAGATCGGGAGGGAGAGGAGTGGCCAGGGTGCGGGGCAGGGTGGGAGTCTTAGGAAGGTGCCCCTTTTTGCTCCAGACTCCCC